ACCTGAACCCACAAACATAAACTTTTTAAAGGCACACATTTCGTGATATTCAGAGGTGGGCAGTAGCGCGCTACATGTAGCGAATGCTACCAGCGGCCGCTACATTTTTATCAGCGGTAGCGGCGCTACATTTAAGGCAATGTAGCGGTAGCGGAAGCGCCCGCTACATATTTAAGTAGCGATACGAAGTTTTGCCGCTGCAGCGCTACCGCTACATTTATTGATAAAGCCTTTAGATTTTACTTAATGGTATTAAATAATAAAAGTGCCACTTTAAATAAAAATAAACAAAAAATGCTGTTTTAAAGGATTTGATCGCTATTTTCTTTGCGCTTCACTCAACCTCAATTATTATTCATATAAAGTGCAGTTTAAGAGTCGCTACCTGATATGTCTTACTTTATATTGAAGCTGTCCATTCAAATCCACACCCCAACTTAACCGCATTAAAATCCGAGTTTTGCTCGAGAAAATAAATCTAAGAAACCGGAATTTGCGGACGTTGCTGGAGGCGGTTGCGCTGAGCTGACCAGGGCCATTGAACCATGACCTTTGAAGCTGCACTGAAAATCATGCTCTTATTAATGTGATTTCGGAATAAGAATAGCTTGTTTACTTGTTTTCTCAAGAGAAAACAAGAATTACTTGTTTTCTCAATAAAATTTAGTATTATATACAGTAGCTTTATTTTAACCTAACCTAACCTAACCATATTCCGCATTTTTTAAATATTCTAATATTTATGGACTTCTTTTTGTATACAGACACCAAGCTTGCGCATTTGTCTAAGTAAAATATTGCGCATTTGTCTAAGTAAAATATTTGTCTAAGTAAATATATTTGGCAGAACTCGGCCATCCGGCTTGTAAAAATAAAACTCAAATTTTTAGCGCATTTTCTCATTTATGAAAAAAATTCACTATTGTGCTCGCCATGTCCGTGTATCTGTCTGTCTGTCCGTCCGTCTGTCCGTGACCTCAAGTTTTCGTCGACGAGAAAATGCACTCACTGTCACTCACTGCAGTGAGTACTGAGTTATATTTTTTTAACAAGTACTTTTTTAGCTATGAATCCCGCTTTCATGCAAGCGTGTAATTTCGCCCAGTTTAATTCTCCATGTGTTGATCAAATGCTTGGAACTAACACAGCGTTGACATCCAGCAGGGGTTTGAAATAATAAAACATACTATCAGATTCCGTATTTATTGTACTCTATTGGGACACGTAATATTTTATTTTTCTTACAACCACAACAGAAATTAGTTTCCAACCAATCTACTTTTATAATTATGAAATTTGTTCATGTTTACTTTACTTCGATCACGACATCGTCTATGGGTTGGTCTTGAATTTTGTGTT